CCCCAGCTCCCAAGCATATAACAATTCTGTCCTCAGGGTCCCTGGGCCGCTCTTCCCACAGGTCCTGTCCCTGTGCTTTAATAAAATCACCTTTTCGCACCAAAGACATCTTCAAGAATTCTTGCTTGGTCGTCGGCTCCAGACCCCACGAACCCCACCATCATCCCAAAGCCTCGTCAAGGAGTTTCTCTGGACACAGATGTCCAGAGCTACCTGTGATACTGGTTTGAGTCCAGTGAGGATGACTTAGCTTGAGGGAATGAACCTTCACGCAGACGAAAGGCTAAAGAGAAAGCATGTTGTTGAATTAGTTCCTGGCTCCAACCCTCCCCAAGATCAGCTACACCCCTGATCTTTCTACAATTGGGTCATAAGAGCCCATGACGTCTTTGGCAGGTTCAAGTTCAAGGTGGGTTTTGGTCACTTAACAACCCTAGGGTCCTAACAAACAAGGTTTAAAACTCTCTTCCCTTACATTATGCAATAATGTAGTCAATAAGTATTTATTTATTTTAATGTTTGTTTATTTTTAAGAGAGAGAGCACGAGCGCAAGCGATGGAGGAGGGGGACAGAGGATCCGAAGCAGGCTCTGTGCTGAGAGCAGACAGCCCTGTGTGGGGCTCGAACTCACGAACCATAAGATCATGACCTGAGCTGAAGTCGGACGCTTAACCGGCTAAGCCACCCAGGTGCCCCGGTCAACAAATATTTATTAAGGACCTGGTGTAGAACAGACACTCGGCTAATGGGGACGCAAGAGTAAGATAAGAAGAAGGTCCCTGCCCATACAGAACTCAGTCTGCAGTTGTTGCTGTGCGATGAAGCAGCCACTAGCCTGACATAGCTACTGAAATTTAAAATAATTAAACTTGGGGCACCTGGGTGGCTCAGTCGGTTAAGCGTCCAACTTTGGCTCAGGTCATGATCTCGCGGTTTGTGAGTTCTAGGCTTACATCGGGCTCTGTGCTGACAGCTCAGAGCCTGGAGCCTGCTTTGGATTCTGTCTGTCTGTCTGTCTCTCTCTCTCTGCCCCTCCCCTGCTCGCGCTCTGTCTCTGTCTTTCAAAAATAAACATTGAAAAAAACACAAACCTTTAAAAAAATAAAATAATTAAACATGGGGCACCTGGGTGGCTCAGTCTGTTGAGCGTCCGACTTCGGCTCAGGTTCTGATCTCGTGGTCTGTGAGCTCGAGCCCCGCGTCGGGCTGTGTGCTGACAGCTTGGAGCCTGGAGCCTGCTTCGGATTCTGTCTCTCTCTCTCTCCCTGCCCCTCCCACGCTCATGCTCTGTCTCTCTCTCTGTCAAAAATAAATAAACATTAAAATAACTAAACTTAAATTGTTGGAGAAATGAATAAAGTAGGCCAAAGGTGGCCAAGGGGACTGAGACAAGCTCTGGTCTCCGGCTTGGACGCCCCTCTTCCAGGTTCTTCTTTTGCCCTGTTTGCCATGCGCATGAAAACCCCCACGGATATGGAAGCTGACAACTATAAATTATCCTTCCCACTTGCATTCGGCGATCAGATCGCTGGAGAAACGGTCTCCTCTGAGCCCACCGGTGTTAAATAAACCTCTGATCCACCAAGATCTCCGAGTGCCGCTTGGTTTTTCCGCCAGCGTTCCAGCCTGGTTCTGTAACAAAAAAGCATTTAAAATTCAGTTATGCACTCTCACTTGCCACCTTTCAAGGACTCGGTAGGCACATGTACCGGGTGGCTACTGTACTGGGCAGCATGGATACAGAGCACCATCCTCAGCACAGAACATTCCATGGGACACTGCTGGTCTAGAGCCTCCCTAGTCAAAAGTGTTCTCGAAACCAGGTTCACCCAGGGGCTGGCTGGAATTGCAGAATCCCTTCTTTCCTGGCTGATTTCGAGGGTCGGAATCTGCACTTCAAAGAGATCGTTGTGTCTTTGTTAAATTAACATTTGTTAAGCACAGCCCCAGGGGGCTGGATGTTGCGCCACAGTTCTAGGAGACCGGGAGGTTTGAAAGAGAGTTCGTGCATTACTCCCCTGTCAGGGAGGAGGTCCTGAGCCACCTTGAGGAGCCCAGAGGGGAGGTCAAGGCGGAGTGCAAGGGGCACGTGCCTTTATTAGGGTCCATGGGTAGAGGGCTTTGGGGTTTCCAGTCTAAAGCTAGCTTGGGAAATTCAAAACAAAAAAAAGCGGGTTTGGTAGGCTTCGTGGCCCTGGGAGGCAGGAGAGAAAGCTCATCACAAGGGCCTTTGGGGGAGTCCTATCAGGAACCTACACTTACCTGATGACCACAGACCCTTAATCTAGGACACGTGGCCATTGAAGGGGCTAGTGTCGACTGAAGGCCCCTGCAGGCCATTGGGCCCCACAGAGTGGATGCCAATGCGAAAATAACTATGTAGTAGTTTAGCTAATTCTCCACAAAGATGCCCAGTTACTTCACGTGCACATTAGAAGAATCCTGTCCTGACAGCCATTCCAAGTTTACTCTGTCTGCCTAACACTGTCACAAATACCCTCCCATGAGCAACAGAGAGGGTCCCAACCTTGAGAAGGACACTCCGTCTCGCCTGGTTGTCAGCTCCCTGACCTCTCCCCAAGCCACAAAATAACCGCCTTTGGCATTTGTCCACGGAACAAAGGCTTGAGGGAATAACACCAAGATTCAGCTGAACAGACTCCCTCTCCTTGTGCTCACCAAGTTGATAAGTACGACTCGGGTTAACGGTGTCCTCTGGGGGCGCCTGGGCGGCTCCATGGTTAAGTTTCTGACTCTTGGTTTGAGCTCAGGTCATGATGTCAACGGTTCGTGGGTTCGAGCCCCGCGTCTGTCGGCGCAGAGCCTGCTTTGGATTCTCTGTCTCCCTCTCTATCTCTGCCCCTTCCCCACTCACTTTCTATCTCTCAAAAAAATAAAGAAAGAAAAGAATATGTAGGGGCACCTCGGTGGCTCAGTTGTTTGAGCATCAGACTTCGGCTCAGGTCATGATTTCACGGCTCTTGAGCTCGAGCCCCACATTGTGCTCACTGCTGTCAGCCTGTCAGCTCAGAGCCTGCCTCAGGTCCTCTGTCCCCCCTCTCGATGCCCCTCCCCCACCGGTGCTCTCCCCAAAATAAAAATAAATATTTAAAAAAATGTTTTTAAATAACAACCATTGGACTAGGTTGAACCTCGGGGCAATCCCACCCCAGGGATGATTTTTCAATGATACAGTTCCTCCGGGTAAATTCACTGCAGGAGAGCTGGCAGTGATCAGAGATTTATGCTGTTATTATTATTATTTTTATTATTTCTCCAGAAAGAGGAAGAAGGCCCTTCCTGTGGGGCATGAGTTCCGCTTGTTCTCATGCTATAAAGGATGTGCCCACCCCTGTGTGGGCTCAGAGGCTGTCAACCAACCCAGCCTGATTGAGAGGCGCTCTTTGAAAAACCTTTACACACACACACACACACACACACACACACACACACACACACTTCTACTAATTGGTGGCACCCGACCATAACCAAGAAAAAAGGCAACAAACTATCCATTTAAATTGCAGATTGTGACCTTTATGCTTGAAATCTTTTCAAACATCCTGTTTATAGCTTTGGGGTTCTGGCACTCAATAATTCTCCAAATTATTTTCCTCGGTTGGATTTTTTTTTCCCAGTGGTTATTATTATGCACTGCATTTCCCCAATTTCTGGGCCTCACCCCCCAGTTGGTTTCTCCTGAGAATCTAGGTAATTGAGGACTTTTCTTGAATATTGCCACTTTATTCTGCTCAGCCGAACCAGCTGCACCGAGCTGCTTTGCAAGGCTTGGCCCTGCCCACGCAGAGACAGAGGCAGGGGGGTTTCCAAAAAGGCCCGGAGGTGGGGGGTGGGGGCGGGGAGTGCAAACAAGGGCTTTTTCTCCAAGCTGTGAAACTCCTCTGCCCGGCAAAGATCTTGAATGCACTGGCCTGTGGTGGCCTTCCCTGAAGTGTTAGTAGATTACAGGGGCGGATGTTAGTAGGTGTTACAAGGTAACCACGGGTTAAATTCAAATGAAAGGGTTCCCTCATGGGGGGTTTCTCAAGACCCTCAAACACAGCTCTTTTGGTGTCGGTGGAGCAGGCAGGTTTCCCAAGTTTACTTTATCAGAGTGCACCTGTTTTCCTGGAGAAGGCTTATCAAAAGCGGTCCAATCCGGGGAGACGCTGGGTGTTGTGGTTAGCATTGCTGCAAGGTTCCTAATGACCCAGCCCAGATCAGCCTGGATGGGAAACAGCTTCTTCCTCTCCCTAGAATGTACGCCCCCTTCCATGGGCTACACTGCTCCTGGCTTCCCAGACAGCACAGCAGAAGACCCAAGAGTCAGAAAGGATGGGTATGAGCCCTGCTTCCTGGCATCGTTCCTGTCCATTTTGGGTACCAGCTCATCCCCACATCTGTACCCGAAGATCTAGGAACCTAGGAGCCAGAGTGGACATTGTGACATCTGCCTTCCCATTCTCCTCTCCCTTCTGGAAACAAACCCCTTTCCTGAGGGGAAACAGATCCTTAGAATTCGCCTGTGGAGGCTAATAGCACATCTGACTTTTCTCGGAGAGCTGAAGCCTGCGACAGAAGTGTTTGATGACTGAGCAGGGGATTGATGAATAATTCTAGCCAAACTAAGTAACAAGTGATAACAAAAATGAGTAAGCACTGTGTGCTTCCTGTGTGCCAGGCACTGTGGTGAAGGAGCTTCAATTCACTTACTAAATCCTCATGACAGGTCTATAAAGTGGCTCCTACGATTATTCCCATCTTACAGATGAGGAACCTGACTCGTTTGCAAGACCTGTCCTCTTTCACGTCTGCAAGTCTTTTTATTTATTTTTTTTAAATTTTAACGTTTATTTATTTTTGACAGAGACAGACAGAGCATGAGTGGGGGAGAGGCAGAGAGAGAGGGAGACACAGAATCCGAAACAGGCTCCAGGCTCTGAGCTGTCGGCACAGAGCCTGATATGGGGCTCAAACTCACGAACTGGGAGATCATGACCTGAGCCAGAGTCGGACACTCAACTGACTGAGCCACCTCACGTCTGCAAGCCTTAAACACTCTACGACAGACTGGACAGATGGAAAAGCAGCCAGTACCCAGGATAGTTGCTATTAATGGAATACTTTCCTGTGCCAGGCTCGTGGGTTACTATCTACCAACGACTTTGGGTAAACCAGGCTCTGCTCCAAGAACTGAATGTTCATTTAATCCTCACAGCGACCCCGTAACGTAGGGATGACTGGTTGAGGAAACTGAGGCATGGCAACATCTGTTCACCTGAAGAACAGAGGTTATCTTATCAGCAAAATGGGTTTATTCGGGAATAGCCGAGAATTGCAAAACAGTAAAACCAGGGGCAAGGGCAACAAACAAAGGAAAGGAACGTTTTATGGAGAAAGAGGAAGTTAGTCGGGTTGTTTTGCATGAAAGGCCCTTAAACAAAGCAAGAGTTCGGGACTGACAGTTTCTCACTAGCTGAGTTGCTGGGGTAGTTGATTTCTTACAGGGGATGTAATGTACATCTCTCCCTCTTGGGGCCTGTAGTTGATGATAATTTCCTGAATTCTGTTGGGAGTCTGTAATTGACAATTCTTCTTAAAATTGATATTTGAGTGATACTCTCCCCCGCCCCCCCCCCCCCAGACTCCTTTCTGGCCTCCTGACTCCCTTTTAGTGAGGTTCCCTTTTAATTAATTTTTACATGTTAAATGACCTGTCCAGTGCTACACAGCTTCTTAGTGACAGGGATGGGGCTCTTTTGAGTCAGAGGCTGTGCTCTTACCCCTTACCCTCTGTCTTACCCACAGAGTCTGTGCCCTAGAAAAGGACTTTTGTTCTCTCCTGGAGGGCAACAACAGTTTGGACCAAAAAGCCAGGTCTCAATGCCACTCAGCTCTTCCTGAACCTTTGAAAGCCGGGGCGTCAGCAAGGTGGTGGAATGTCCTTCCCTCTTCCTTGGTTCTGAGGACACGTACCTTTTCAGTTCCCCTCACCCTCCTTGGGCCAGCCTTTGCATGAATCAAAGCTTTCAGACGGGAAGGAAAACTACAGATGGGCCAGGAGCCCAGCCTCTGGGGTCCTGCTTGCCAGGCCCGGCTGTTCGAACAGCCCTCCTCACGTCTGACCACTGTTCTGACACCAGAGCTGAGAAATTTTATTTAAGGGTCTCTGAAGGCCCTGGCAGACCCACCCCGAATTCCCTGAATTCCCTGCTGCCTGGGGTGGAAAGAATTTCCAACCAAACTTGGCGAGCCAGGAAGGACTGTGGTCTGGCCGCTCCCTCTGAAAGGTGCTATGCGGCCCTGGCAGCCCAAAGCATCTTTTGCCTCTCTTCGTTCCTTGCTAAGAATAACCAGGCCACCTCCACACCCTCCACTCAGGCTCAGCCTTTTCTGAGATCTCCCTTTGCTGGGTGTAAAGCATCTTCGGCAGCAGAGAAAGTAGACGGTGAGCCTCCAAGAGCTGGGATTTGAGCCCAGGACGCATGGTTCCAAAGTTCATTCTCTCCCCACCTATGGGCAGGGCTTTTCCGGAGATCAGAGATGTTCTCCACTGGGACTGCATTCATGGTGCGGGGAGGAGACCCTCAGACCCTCTGTGGCTGCTGCTGTCAATGTCTGGCCCATACTCCCGTGCACTGATCATTCTCTTAGAGGGCAGTAGCTTCTTGTGCGAGCCTGGGTCTCAGCCGTAAGAGCTGGGGAATTGGCAAATGAGACTAAGTGCGTAAACGCACCGGGTGCTTGTCCTGGGGGAGGACAACTCTGGGCACATTATACCCTGTCTGCCGCAGAGTCCCCTAGTGGGGCTGCCCACGGCCCTTACCAGCTTATTAACACAGGCTGTGCTGGTTTCCTTCCCTCCCCGGCTCCCAACCCTCTCCTACTCCTGTTCCCAAGGATCTGCTTCTTCTCTCAGTGTCTCTTATGGGGACATTCAACCTAGGAGGCCCCCTGAGACTCCTAAAGGGGAAGCCTAAGGGGTCTCTTTTTTAAGGAGCCAGGCTCTTAGTTGTCCAGGCTCATTGAAGGCGGCGGGATGGAGTAGGCAAGCACACCTGTGGCAGCCCCCAACCCCCCCCCCCCCAAGGGACGCATCTTCAGTCCCTGGCCTTGGAATCCATTGCTTGGGTTTCTTTTGGCTGCATCTGCTTTGTCTTCTGAGAAACTGTGCCAAGCAGAAGGTTTTTGACCCGAAATCTATACTGAGTGTTGACCGTGTGCTGGGCACCATGCTGGGGTCTGGCAACCCACAGGAGCCGTGTTCTCCGCCTCTGCCCACTGGCAGCCGGGAGACAGCATCTGGACCCTATCTCTCCTCTCCAGGTTAACCTCGGTCCCAGGCACCAGCAGCAGAGGATCCTGGGGCAGGTGGTGGACGCTGACCTACCAGCTGCCTACGGTGGGAACCCAGGGCCCCGGGAGAGCCACAAGAACCACCCCCCCGGCCCCCCCCCCCAACAAATTAAAGAGATTGTTTGCATAAGCCTCATCTAAGGCTGGCTCTTGCAATGTTTTTAAATCACCTTGGGCTTCCGGAGGTTGAGTGCCTGTTCATTTCATCAAGCGATGACTCCAGGACAAGACAAAGCCCATTTCCACGGCTAATACGACAGAGCATTTGGAGAGCACTGAATCCATCAGGAACCCGAGTGGTTTCCCACTGGCATCAGCTGAAAGGCAGATGAAGATACGACTCAGGGCACAGGGTGGAGGCCCTGGGATCAGCACAAGGATTCCCAGACCCACCGCTAGGTCAGCGCCCCCCCCCCCCCCCGTCAGGCCCGCTATTAAGTGGTTAAGGGCCCAGGCCCTGGAGTCGGGTTACCTGGGTCCAGAAAACTGGCCCAAGTCCCAGCTCTGCCACTTGCCATCTGACGATGGGCAAGCAATTTTATCCTTCCAAGCCCATTTAGTCATCCCTCAAATGGATTAATAATTGTTATTTCCACCGGTCAGTCTCCCCCCCAGACATTCATGCCTCTCAGTCACCTTTTCCAAGTCTTTGTTCAGACCCCTTCCGAGAGACCCTCCCTCCTCGCCTGGTTAGAAACCACAACACTACCCTCGTCCCTCTTCATCTCCTTTCCTGGCTCCGATTTATTTTTTCATGACATTGATTACTGACTATATTGTATCGTGGGATTATATATATTTTATTTGTTTTCTATCTCGCCCCGGGTGGATTTTCAGCCCCAGGAAGGCAGGGGTTTGGTCTCTTTTGTTCACTGCTCTATTCCCAGCATCTAGAACAATGCTGGATTGAAGTAGATGCTTGGTAACTATTTGGTGGGATAATTTCTCATTTAAACCAACGTCAGCAGTGCCTGCTGCATAGCAGTTCATTGTTATCAATCAGGTATTGGCCACAAAGCAGGAAAGTGCCACACAGTTCCTACCTTGACTTTATTAATTCACCTGAAAATGTTCTCTAAAAAATTGTCTCTACACCATGTGCCACGCAGTGCCCTAGGCTCTGCTGATGCAGGGATGGACAAAAGGAGTCATAGATCAGCAGAAATGTGATAGTACTCCCCTCGGAGATTGTTGTGAGGACCGAATAAGCTAATGCACGGAAAAGGCTTTGCATAATCCAGGAACAGAATGTATTAGTCAGCTTTTGCTATGATAAAGCCGTGTGACAAACATCCCCCCAAATCTCAGTGGGCTCCAACAGAGTTACTTTTCACTTATATATATCTGAAGGGTACAGGTCAGAAATGGGTCTGCCCCATGTGTCTTCTCTGTTGGGCCCCAAGGTGAAGGAGAAGCTCCTATCTGGAAATGCTGTTCTCTTAGGGAGAGCAAGAACTGGCAGAAACTTGCCATTCCTGAGGCCACTGCCTAGAACTAGCACACCATCACTTCTGCCCACATTCCTTTGGCCAAATCAATCCACATCGCCAAGCCCCACATCCATGGGCCGAGGAAATGCACTCTCCTCATTGACCAGGGAGGGGAGAGTGAATATTTGTTGGATAACAGTACAAAACACCCTGTTTAATAAAATTTCTTTGCTATTGTAAGGGAGAAAAAAAAAATGCCTCTTCCACAAAATCATACAGGCAGTAGTCAACAGTTACGTGTTATCCCAAGGACAGCCACCTAGATGGTGCCAGAATTGGAAGCTGGAAACCCATTGGTGTTTTTTTATGAATCAGAGAGAGCACCAGTTTGAAATCAACGCAGACCCAGTACGCAAATCTCAGCCCCGGCAATTAACAGCCCAGCCTCTGTGTGTCCCTTTACCCCTGCAGGAGTCATCTACAAAATGAGGTTCCCAGATGGCTCTGGGAGTTGCCGTAAGGATCAGAGGGCTAACACGTGGGCAGACCCTTTGTGAGCCATGTACACCTGCAGTTGTTGACTATTATTCGGGGCCATGAAAGTGATGGTGCCTCATGGCTGGTGAAGCCTCAGTGGGCATCCAGCTGAGGCTCAAGCCATCCCTGGTGGAAATCTGCACAAAGGTGCCCTTGAAGGTGACACCCCAATATTTCTCTTGCAGCTCCTTCTCCTGCATTGATCCAGAGTTCCAGTCTTAGCAAATAAGCCACGGGCAAAACAAATATTTATTGGGCACTTCAGTGGGACAGGGACTCTGCTGGGGGCTGACAATACAGCAAAGGAGGCGGTAACAACACCTGCTGTCATGAAGTTCATATTTGGCGCAGGATGTCAGGTAAGTAATTCTAAGTGTGGGAGCATTGGGGGGGGGGGGAGTTGTGCAGGAGACAACGGATGAGGATGATAGAGCTAAGTTAGAGGGGATGCCTTACCAAAGAAGCAGCCCCTGTAACACACGGCGACCCCAGCTGTGCTGGAGGAGGCCACGTTCTAGGGGCCCTGCTGTGTTATAATGGGCAAGGTTGGCGAGCTCTGAGAACCCCAATGGAGGCACCTGCTCCAGCCTCAAGAGTCAAAGGCAACTTCCTGAGGACATGGCTCATGGCCATGGTGGTTGACCCATCAGGGATGACTGGATGTGTCAAAGTCAATGATAGCGATACAATCCTATTCCTGCCAGCGATTGGCTCGGAGAAGGACACATGACCCAGTCCTGGCCAAGGAGACTTGAGGGAAATCTGCCTGGAGGCTGCACGGAGGGGCCTCCTTGACTCTCAAAATGAGACACAAGGTTAAAAAGAAATAACCCTCTGATTTCTCTGGACGTGGCTGGGTCTGGATGCAAAGCCAGGTCTACAGCCGCTCTCCTGCAACCCGCTGTGAGGGCAGCTGACAGAGCAAAGACATGGCAGGGATGGGGGACCCTCGAGAACACCACAGAACAGCTGTCTCAACCACACTGGGACTCTCCTTCCTCCCTCACCTCTGGAGTTCCATTCATGTGGGACATCAACTGTGCTTCGGGGCTGTGCCTATTTGAAAAAGGGACTTTTTATGACTTGTATCTAAGAGTCCATAAGAGTGAGACAGAGCTGGGTCTTGAAGGTCGCATAAGAGTTTTTTGGGTAGAAAAGAAAGGAAGGTCAACCCCAGGGAGAGAGAATGGCTTGGGCAAAGGTATGGATGGTTTTGGAGAAACATCAAAAGGGGGAACCGGGGGGCTAGGTCATGGGGTGGGGGGCCTTCCGGGCCGCCTGGGGAACCTGGCCTTGCCCTGGGAACAGCTTCTCTGTGGATTAGTCGGTGCCCTTAGGAGACAGTACAAGGCAAACTCTGGAGTCAGAGAGAGCTAAGTTCCAATCCTGGCCTCTGACGACAGACAGTTAAGACAAACCCGTACCAAGCCTGAGTTCCCTCCCCCGTCGGATGAGATGGGTCGTTGTGATCATTAAATACCGATACAAATAGAGACAGGGAGCATCACCTGCACAGTCCTTGGCGATGTGGTTATGTGATCGTTCTTCCTACAATTCTATTATTCTTACATCATTATATCACACATACACCGTTATCGGTTAGCTATTGCCGCCTAACGAACTACTCCAAAGCTCCTGGCTTAAAACCATAAACGATTATTTTGCTCACTGTCTGCAGGTCAGCCGGAGGTTCTTCTGGCCCCAGCTGGGCTCACTGATGGGTCCGAGGACAGTCGGTGTCGGTGGCTCCGCTGGCTGGGCTGGGTTGAGCTTTCTTACATACTTGGGGGTCACCCGGGGGTCTCCCATCCTCTAGAAATCTAGCTCAGGCTGGTCCTCACGGTGGTCGGTCAAGATTCCAAACCAGAGGGTGGGAAGTATCCCAGTCCTCGTGACCCCCGTGCTGGGAGCCACCATATCCACTTCTGCCACATGCTGGAGGTCAAAACAAGTGCCAGGGCTAGCCCAGGTTCAAGGGCTTTTAAGGAAACAGATTCCACTTCTTAATGGCAGCCGCTGCAAAGTCACATCGGAAAAGGAGAGGATACGGGGAAGGGTAGAGAATTGAGGTCAGGAGTTATGAATGCCTCTCTCAGGTTTGTACGCTGGGTTAAGAGTCCCCAGCCAGCAAACATCCAGAAAAGGCCTTGGCACTCTCTGGAGGTGTCCCCAGCCTCTTCCTCAGCTGTATTTGCATATTTTGATTGGTTCCCCTACTTATCATCTGTCCCGGCAGGAAGAGCCTTTCTCGTCTCCAGCCCCTGGAGAATGATTAAAATCCCGCACCATCCTCCCGACCTTAACATGAGATTCCTGGAGGCGGAAACCTGACTTGCCCTAATTTCCCATAATTAATTCGTCAAGACACCTGGTGTGGCTGCTGCTCCCCTCGGGGACTCTCTGGCTTTCCCCCAAGCCGGCCAGTGAGTCCCTGCTCTGCTCATCTCATGAGGGGGAAGGGAGATTCTGTTTCTGGAAGATCTACCCAGAGCCCAACCCCCAAGCGGGTGTTGTTATACGTGTGAAGTCACTGCCTCTCTCTCGATGGCCCTGACACTCAGTAGGATTCCCATGTTACAGATGAGCCGACTGAGGCTCAGAGAGGTGGTCGCTTGGTAAGGACATGAAGCTGGGAAGTATCAGACCTCGGGTTAATGGTTCCCTGGTTGCTTAGGGAGCCATACCTGGGCGGATGGCAAAGAAATTGTGGCTTGAAGGCAGTGTAGGCTCCTTCCTCTGGGAAAGGCAGGTGTCCTGGGGCATGTCTTTCCTTTCATTGGATATACCCGCCCCCCCCCCACTGTTACCCAAAATTAGCACCAGGCAAGGAGGTCCTATTAAAATACAAATGTAGTTGACCTTCAACAACAGGGGTTTGAACTGTGTGGGCTCAGGTATACATGGATTTTTTTTTTTGAGTTTTATTTATTTATTTTGAGAGAGACAGGTTGAGGGGGGAGGGGCAGAGAGAGAGAGAGGGAGAGAGAGAGAATCCCAAGCGGGCCCTGCACTGCCTGCACAGAGCCCGATGCAGGCTCGAACTCATGAAACCACAGGACCATGACCTGAGCTGAAACCAAGAGTTGGACGTTTAACCGACTGAGCCACCCCGGTGCCCCTACATGGATTGTGTTTCAATAAATACAGTATGGTTCTGTAAATGTGTTTTCTCTGCCTTATGATCTTCTTAATACCATTTTCTTTTCTCTAACTTACATTATTGTAAGAATACAGTATATAATCCATATAATATACAACATATGTGCTGTGTGGCCAGTAAGACTTTTGGACAAGAGTAAGCTATTAGTATTTAAATTTTGGGGGAGTAGGAGCGCCTGGGTGGCCCAGTCAGTTAAGTGTCCAACTTCAGCTCAGGTCATGAGCTCATAGTTCGGGAGTTTAAACCCCACATCGGGCTCTGTGCTGACAGCTCGGAGCCTGGAGCCTGCTTTGGATTCTGTGTCTCCTCTCTCTCTCTCTCTCTGCCCCTCCCCTGCTCGTGCTCTGTCTCTGTCTCTCAAAAATGAATACACAGAAAAAAAATTATAGATAAAAAAATAAATAAATTTGGGGGGAGTCAAAAGTTATATGTGGAATTTAGACCGTGCACGGTGCCCCGACCCCTGCATTATTCAAGCGTCACCTGCCCTGTGGATCTACAGTTAGTTAAAAACACGGGTTCCTGGACTCCCTTCAGACCTTTCAAAATGGACTCTTTAGGAATGAGGTGTGGGAATCTGCGTTTTGGTATTCTCCTTTCAAGACCATTCCGAAGTCCTAGCCACTGACCACACTCTTCACAGGAGAGCACTCACGCTATTGTTAAGTGCAAAGGGTACGCGTGTAAAGCATGAGCCTGTATTTGACAAAGAGAAGAGATCTCAGATAGGCACAGAAGGACCGTCTGGAAGAACATGTGAACAGAGGAAAGTCTCCACTCAGGGTGGAGTTACGGAGCTGGATCTCTATCTATATTGCTGGATCACCGTGCACTGAGCATGTGTTCCCCGGTCATCAGAAAAGGCAGCAAGGATCTTTTAATGCAAATATCCTTGGAAGAGAAAGAGGGTATTAGCAGCTGGAAGGCAACATTGAAAAGAGATTTCTGGCGGCCGCAGCTGGCTGACAACAAAGGCTTGTGGGAAAACGGCTCTGGGATAGGCAAGCTAAGGGGGCCATAGGGGAGGTGTGGCAATCCCAGCAGCCAGAGGTGCCAGGATCCAGGTCTTTCCGTTTCCACAACCTGCAGTCTTGATCTCTGTGCCGGACCATTGTGGCAGATTGCAACGGTGGCCTCAATTCTTATCCCTCCCCCTGCCCACGTCCTTGCCCACGTGACCACGGTGCTTCCTCTCTCTTTCTCGGCTCAACCGTGTGACTTGCTTCGGCCAATGGCATTTTAGCACACACACGTTGGGATAACTCCAGAATCCTGTACCCGCACCAAAGCTTGTAAGTAATAAAAATAATTTACCGAACCACATACCAGGAATTCTACTCGTGCTTTAATCCTCACAAGACAGTGCAGTGGGGGAATCATTATTATAGGATTGGGGAAAAAAAAAAAAAAGGACAAGTGATCGTTCTAGAAAAGAGCCGTAACGCAGGTAAAAGATAAAACCCATACCATATTAGGGTAATGTCCACACTATAGTAAAGCGCTCTCACAAACTAACCAGTGACAAATGATCCAAAAGAAAAATGAACAAAGGATGGGACTTCATGGAAGAAATCTGCGTGGCCAACAAATAAATACAGGCAAACATGCTTAAATTCTCTACAAGTTAGGGAAATGCAAGTTCAAGTGACGATGAAACACCATTTTGTACCCATTGAACTGGCAAACATTTTGAAGAGCTATAACACCTCCTGCTGGCAGAGATGAGGGGAAAGAGACTCCCAGGAATGGCTGGTAGATGATTAGAAACTGGCTCAGGAAATTATTTGCTTCCCCAAGTTAACGAAGGTAGATAATGTCAGAGTCATCCTTCAAATCGGGTGGGTTGAACTCCAAAGTTCACACTGTCAACCACTGAATAAATGGAAGGAATTTAGTAATCTAATCTGGAGTATTTCAGGCTGCCTTTTTCTTCTTCTTTTTTGAAATTAAAGCAACAGAAGCCTCTCTTCAAAGAGCATCTTCCAGAAAACCCAGTCCCATGAAAGAAATAACAAAAGAACCGTGGGGTTGAAGCGGGGTGGGGGGGGGCGCCCCATTCCTGGCACTGGGCCTCTTCCTCGTTACGGAGCCAGTGAATCTCTAGAGCTCCATGGAGCAGGGTTTGAAAACAATTGGTCAAGCCAAACCCCATCATTCTACAGACGGACGCAAGTAAATGGGCCAGAGAGGGCAGGGATGGCTTGACGTCACACAGCTCATCATGGCAGAGCTGGGACTAGGACCTGGGTCTTCCTGCCATTAGAACAGCACTCCTTTTGCGGTGTGATTCTCAAAGTTCGTAATAATCCTGCCATAAGCGTCCTCATAGTTATCATTCGTTTGAGCACCTTCCAAGTGCCCCGCAATGTGCATTCATCATGTCCAGTCCTCAGAACCACAAGGTAACGGACTCGGAGGTGGTGGGACATATCCAGTGTCACAGCGCTAAGGAGTCGCAGAGGCAGGATTCGAACCCAGGTCTAATCTGAATGTGAAATGGGAGCGCTTTCCACTGGACCAAATGATCCTAGGTCATGCGGCCGTTTGCTGTGGACGGTACGGGGGATGGGAGAGGGGTTGTATCCCGGCACTAGCAAAGCATGTGTGGCCCTACCCCCCCCCCCCACCTGTCATGTTCTGCTCTTCCTTTCTTTTTTAAATTTTTAAAATGCTTTGTTTATTTTTGAGAGAGAGAACATGAGCGGGGGGAGGGGGGTCACAGAGAGAGGGGGACAGAAGATCAGAAGCAGGCTATGCACTCGGAGCAGCAAGCCCCATGTGGGGCTCCAACTCAAGAACTGCGAGATCATGACCTGGACCGAAGTCCGACGCTCAACTTGACTGAAGCACCCAGGCACCCCCGTGTTCTGCTCTTCTGATAGGATCTTCACCATTCTCTCTGGGCATGAGCTCCCTACCCCCTCAGCATCCAGCACGGCCCATACTGGATGCTTAACATCTGTTATGCGCATTCTCAGAGGCCAGCTATAAGGTCACCTATGCAGACAGACGGCTGGAGGCAGAGAGTCCTGGGTTCACAACCTAATTCCGGTGTTTCCCAGCTGACAACTTAACCCACTTCTCCACGCCTGCTCCTTTATAGATAAATCAAGTTTCTACAATAATATTGCAGCATTAAGTAGGAAGCCTTGGGATGCGGATAACAGAAACCCCCACCTATCCTGGAGGAAACCTCTTACCCCGCAGAGTGGGAAGTCCAAGGATAGAGTGGCCTTTGCACTTAAAGACTTGGCAGCTCGGGGCGCCTGCGTGGCTCAGTCGGTTGGGCGGCCGACTTCGGCTCAGGTCATGGTCTCGCGGTTCGTGAGTTAGAGCCCCGCGTCGGGCTCTGTGCTGACGGCTCGGAGCCTGGAGTCTGGAGCCTGCTTCGGATTCTGTGTCTCCCTCTCTCTCTGCTCCTCCCCTGCTCATGCTCTGTCTCTCTGTGTCCTTCAAAAATAAATAAGAACATTAAAAAAAAAAAAAAAGACTTAGCAACTCAATGATATCAGGGAGGATATAGTCCCCATCTCTCCATTCTGCCATTGCCAGAGCGAGTTTCATCTCTTACCTTGCGGCACGTGGCAAGATGGCTGTCAAAAGTGCGGCTGTCACACCTGCACATACTGCAAACGCTGGGAGCAGCGCCCCCCCCCCCCCACTTCCTCCAGCTCCTTCTTAGTCGTGAGGGAAAGTTTCTCAAAGGCCACGGACAGATTTCTCCCTCACTTCTCATTGGCCAGAACTGGGTCACATGCTAACCCCTCAACCAATTATCCGCAAGAGAATCGTACGGCCGGGATTAGCTTGAACCAATCATCTGCCGCGCGGGGGCTGATGGGAAGCCAACCACCTACCCTAAAAAAGATACGTGGAAGGAGGATCTACCGCGCCAAACGGCCAGCACAGTGGACCTTCTGCTTCCTTCAGCTTTGAACCCCCAGCTCAGGACCCTGAAGACACTCAGCAATTAGTGAGTGGGTGAGTAAGTGAAGAATCTTTCCTCCCCCTACTCTCTGCTTTGCCCAAGTCAGTCATCTCTCGATGACCTCAATGCCCAAACGAAGCCACAAAAGGTGATGTGGCTGGAACAAATTGGGAAATAACTGGAACTCCCTGGGAAGCTCTACTGAAGGAATGAGTGGATCTGGGCCAGGCCTGCTGTTGTCCGTGTCCAAAAATACTCCTCAACTCATCACCAGGCTCCCCTGGGTGAGGGTGGACACCACAGGACTGACCTGTCGATTTTGTCACTGGTGGTGTTGCTGCTTCTGTTGTTTTAAATGAACTGTTCCTGGTATTGAGATGATTTTGGAAGCCTTGTTTATCAATATGGCTAAGAACAGCCATTGGTGCCCAGAGTAAATAGCCACCCTGGTTTTAGCAGCGGAACAACCAAGAATTTCAGCCAGAGGAAACTGAACGGGCAATGTCGGGCCCTGAGTATTGGAATTTGGGCGGTCATTATCCAACACGGGGGCCGTCTCCTTATTTTCCCTCCTGCTGGACCCGCGGTGGGGGTGTGAGGGTGGCTGTCTTCACATTCCAGCAGCAAATTAATCTTGGTCCGGAAATTCAGCTAGGGACTACTTCGTCAGAACCCCACTGATACAAAACATACAGTGTCCTATGGACAGTCCCCAATCTCTGAGATGCTCTGTGATTGGAGACAGCCTTCTGTGCGAAATACGGAAGGCAATGTTGGGTAGGTGGTGGAATCATATGGCCAGCAGCCACGCTAGGAATCCTGGCAGCTGTGGGAGTGACACAATTCTTCCGCCTTTCTCCACCTGTGCTATTGGGCTGGGCCGTGTGACTTGCTTTGGCCGATGGGATATTTTGAGATAACTGTGGGCCAGTTCTGAGCGCAAGCCTTAGGCGGGGCCTGAGTTTTCACTCGCCTCTCTTGAAATTTCTGTTCCCCGCCTTCAGAGGAGCATGTCTTAGGTGAGCACCGGTCCCAGGATAAAAGACAAGGGAGATGGTTAAACCCAACCCGCAGAGCCATCCCCAACGGATCCAGGAAACTGTGAGAGGAAACAAAAAATAAATGCTTTTCTAAATCACACAGACTGTTGGCATGATGGCAGCAAATGCCGACTGATACAGAAATCTGATCGCTAATCATAGTAAAAATAATAACCGATCATAAATATTGGGCCTTTACTATATGGCAGGCTGTACTTGTCATAACAACCCCATGACACAGGAATGGCCTCCATTTTATATACGAGAAAACCGAGGCTCTGAGAAAGTAGGGAACTTGCCCAAGGTCACACACCAGAAACCTACGGACGGTGGATGGGGGACGGTGATGGCCCCATCTCCGGGCTCTCCCCATCTCCTCACCCAACCCAAGCAAATGATCAATGATGGAAGGGTAGTTCTTTCAGGGCACAAGACCCCTGTCATGCCATCTGAGCACAGGTAGGAAAGGAGGAGACTTTTCTGGAAAGCCCCTCTCCAGACACCCAATGGAGTCAACCTCAAACTTGAAACTCTTTGGAAGCCTGGTGGTCCCAGGTGCATGAGTCATTGTCACCTGGGTGGTGGTTGTTGCCTGCTGCCATGTGAGCGTCCCGCAAGGACAGACAAATGCAAGCTTGCTCCCTGTTGCGAGGGCTGACATTTGATTCTTGGAAGCATTTCTTGAGTACCAACTACCTACCAGATGGAAAAGGATGGCAAAACCTGAGGCTCTTTCTAGATAAGAGAAGGAAAACACATTTTCAAAGACCCCAGCATCACATCCCAACCTCTCCTCTTCCGGTCTCGAACAAGTCCTATTGTCGTTTGTGACCACCCTCTGCTCCCTTCTGCCCCTCACTCACCCTAGACTCAGGTGCCTGGCAATTATTTCAATCCAAGCCTTTGCTTAACTTGTCCCTGGGGTGTTCTTCTCTCTCTTCTATCTCAATGATCACATTTCTGTTCGTCATGAAAGACCTAATTCGAAGTTCACCTTCTCAGATGCTTCTTCCTCCTGTGAGCTCTTGACTGCTCATCTCGCCAGCTGATCTAGATGGAGGCCTGCCTTTCCCATAAGTACACGGGTTTCCCAAGGATGGAGACCGTCCCTTGCTTGTCATGTATCACGCTGCATCCCAGCACGCAGCACGATGCCAGGCACTGGGTAGACAATCTGGAAACGGTGCTTTATTGCTGTAGAACACTCTGCAGTGTATGAACTGCCAGACAGCTCAAGGGTCGTGTCTCAGACCCCGTGACTGTGACTATGGGCAGTTACTCACCTCTCGGAGCACCTGCTTGATGCTATTGTTGGAGGATTCCAGGAGATCATCCCCTGAAAGCAACTAGCAGAATGCCTGGCTCATAGTTGGCCCTCCAAAAATGCCATCTACTCACAGGACTGGTGTTATCATTTATCACGTTAGATTCTGGGGTAATAAACGTTGACAACTCTGCATTGTAGGAGTCAGAAAACTTTTTCTCTAACCGCCTGAAAGTCAATATTTTAGGCTTTGTGGACCATATGGTGTCTGTCCCACTACTCATCTGTGCTTTTGTAGCATTGAAAGCAGCCACAGACCATGTGTAAATGAATGTGCGTGGCTGAGTGCCAATAAAACTTTATTTACATAAACTGGCAGCGGGCCGGATTTGGACCAAGGGCTATAGTTCGCTGACCTTGGCTGCAGGAAATTAGAGGAAACCAGAGATGGAATGTCCACTGTGCCTATTCAAGGTTGCAGTTCTCTAACTTGGATCTCGGGCTGCTAGCATCGATTACGGAGTCACCACCGAGGAAGACGTCTGCAGAGGGGAAGGGAGGGGAGGAGACATTCCGACGTGCCAAGCAGAGGAAGAAGTCATAATACATCGAAGCATGGGCTTTGGATTCCGACAGACATCACACAGAACCCAGCTCCATCATGGGCTGTGTGTGACTTTGGGCAAGGGACCCCTCTCCACTCAAGCCTCAATTTCCTCATTTATAAAATGGACATAATAACAACTTCTGTTTCACAGGCTTTGGGAGGGTAAATCCCATCAAGCGCTTAGCTACCATGCCACAATTCGTAGAAGCGTCTTCAAAATGCCAAAGGGAGTATTACCTAGACCCTGGGCAGCGGGAAGAAAAAAAAAATCGAAATGGAAAATGCTGACCTTCTATTAGCTTCTAATACATGGAATTTCTCAGCAAGACCTTGTAAACTGCTTAACTTTCGGTGAGTCTGACATTTGGGGGATGATCAACTCAGGTGTTTCTCATAGCCAAGAAGCTTTTTTTAAGAGGACACCAAGGCTCTCAGCGCGGCAATTCCACACCTCTAATCTCACTCCCTACAGGTGCAGGCAGAGGATGGGGTCACAGCACCTCTGGGGCTCCAAGGCCCACCCTTCACCAGGCACTGGCCTCCCCCCGCCCCCCCCCCCAGGGTGGTGGGAAATGCATGGGGAGAGGCCCCCTGGGTGGGTATTGTTCGCTTGCCCATCTGGAGGGAAATTCACAGAAAAACACGGATTAACACTGGCAAGCAAGAGGATTAAAAAAGACTTCAGAGGGTAAAGAGAAATGAATGCTGATCTATTGGATACTTACTTCTGCACCCGGAACACCAGGTTTTCTCCTGATTCCAATAAGCTCTTTAAAAAATTCATGAGGTTTTTTTGTTTCTCTGCTTATTTATTCGAGTCCCCAGGATAAACTCATGAAAAGCAGCTTCTCGTCGCAGGCATCCTGGGGGAAGGTATAATTTGTATAGTTCAGGCTAATAAATTACACAATGTCAACATGTTCTGTCACTAATGTCCCACGGCAATCCCAGTCCCTATTAATGAGGGGTGGCCAGAGTAGGTGAGCATTCTCTGGCTTCCTCTTCGTTTACTTTGTTTCCTTCCCTTCCATTCCTGAGGGGCTTCCTGGTGCCAGGCACGGGGGACATAGAGATAAAAAGGCTATGGAAGGTCACGGCCAGGTGGGAAAGAGGACGCTTCAATGGAGAGCGCACTGAGGGCAGTATGCCAGGTGCAGGAATAGAGGCCGAGAGGCATCCTCAGGCAGCATTCATGAGGCACCTGCTGTATACTCCGAGCTGCCCTGGGGATGAGGGCAGGCAGGAAGCAGCTCCTGGACGAACTACCACCCCATGCCAATCATCTACCTCGTGCCTCCCAGGCCCCCACTTAACTTGGACCCACGAGCCCCACACACGGCAGACCAGAAAAAACGAATACTTTCACCTGTAAGGATACAAAACCTCGAAACTACCTAGTGTTCCACAACAGGGAGCCCGTTATGCAAATGAGAGTACTTGGTGGCACATCACGCAGCCATTCACAAGGAAGAAGGTTGTGTAGCTACGTGGAAGAAACGCTTAGAAAATAACCCCGAGAATGGAAGGTGAATGATCCATATTTTATCAGATGAGATGATGAAAAAAACAAAACAAAACAAAACAAACTCACCAGGATCCTGCTGTCCAAGAGAGCAGGACCTGGAGGGAAAGGGGGAGATGGGAAGCGAGAGAGAAGGAAGGAAGAAAATGAGAGAAAGAGAAAGAAGGAATGGCCAAGAAAAAGGTAAAAGGAAAGGAAAGAGAAGGCTGACTGGGCCTCTAACTCACATCCGTTCGAGAAGACACCTTGGCCAGGACCCAGCTAGGATGCTCCGCCTGCACAGTTAACTCCTTTAAAAAGCTGTTGTCCTTGGGGCGCCTGGGTGGCGCAGTGGGTTAAGCGTCCGACTTCAGCCAGGTCACGATCTCGCGGTCCGTGAGTTCGAGCCCCGCGTCGGGCTCTGGGCTGATGGCTTGGAGCCTGGAGCCTGTTTCCGATTCTGTGTCTCCCTCTCTCTCTGCCCCTCCCCTGTTCATGCTCTGTCTCTCTCTGTCCCAAAAATAAATAAACGTGAAAAAAAAAAAAAAAAAGCTGTTGTCCTTGGGGCGCAGGAGTGGCTCTGTCGGTTGAGCGTCCGATTCTCGATTTCCGCTCAGGTCATGTTCTCACGGTTTGTGGGATGGATCCCTACATCAGGCTCTGCGCAGACGGCACAGAGCCTGCTTGGGATTCTCTCTCTCCCTTTCTCTCTGCCCCTCCCCTGCGGCGCGCTCTCTCTCTAAATAAATAAATTAAAAAAAAAAAATCTGTTGTCCTTGATGGACTCGGAGCCAGAGCTTCCGGAAACCGCAGCCTGCGGACTCCCTGGGGCTGTCCTGGGCCTGAGGCAGGCTCATGCCAAGGAGCCCAGGGCGGAGGAATGGGGTCGGCCCCCTGGCCACTCTGTGGCCAGTCTCAGGCTGTCAAAATCCAAAGCGCACCTGGATTCACCTCTTAAGGCATTGGCAAAACCCGGGGATTTTACTGCAGGTATAGCGGAGGCCAGAGGATGGAGATTACAGAGCCCATCTGTGAGCAAAGCTTCCTAAAACTCCCCTTCCGGTGTTTCTGTCTTCACCGGATTTGCATGATTTTTGGGCAGCTGCCACAACTCTCTTTTGTCCCCTCTGCCAGCTTTGTCCACTCAGGCTGGTTTCTCTCTGCACCTTGCTTCTCCAAACCCCCAACTGGCGATAAGGACCAAGCCCTGGCTGGTAACCACGCCCACCCTATCCTGCTTCTCCAGCCTGCCCCCCCCCCCGCCAATTTCTTCCCCAAGGGTCCCAAGTTCCTCAAGCTTTTTTTTCCGTCTAGCATCATATGGGAATATGGTGAGTGACATCCTCTTTGGTGAACAGGATGGGCTCTAAATTCTGACTTAATCTTTGCAGGCTGGGTGACCTCAGGCAAGTGACAAGTCTGTTTTTGCCTCCAGACCTGTTTTTCCATCTGTACAACAAGGATAGTATAAGCACCCGCCCATTAAGATTGCTGTGAGTATTCAGAGTCGATGCATGCAAAATTCTGGTATGTGGAGAGTGTGCAGTAACCATCAGTACTATGATTTATCCACTGGAAAATTCCGTGAGGTCAGTAGGGCAAGGGCTACGGTTCTCATTTTCTAATGAACAAACCAAGGACCAGAGCACTGAGCTGACTTGCCCCAGGCCGCACAGCACAGTCAGCTGAGCCAGAGGTCAAACCTGGTTCTTGAGCCCAGAACCTTCAGATTTCAGTCCAGCTCCTTGAGGTCGAGCCCTGGGGAAGGCAGGGGCCAGTGAGTGGGGGCCCCCACATCTTGGGCGTTGGTTAAGCATTCTTGAGAGGAGATAGTGCTTCCTGGCTCCAGTATTCAGAGCCTTGACATTAAATTATGATAATGTATGACATGGGATTGTGCTGCCTGCTAGCACTGACAATCGCATTTCTTCCAGGCACAACTCCAGAGAGCCCATTTTGCTGTTCTCAGCAGAGTCTGGAGTGTCCTACCCCAGCCCCCCTGCTTGGGACGGGAAGTTTGGTGCCCTCACGAGCCATTTCTCATGGCAGCCACTCGAGGATCTCCTTGTTTTAAGATTTTATTTTTAAGTAATCTCTACACCCAACGTGGGGCTCAAACCCACAACCCTGAGATTAAGAGTCGCATGCTCCACCGACTGAGCCAGCCAGGCGCCCCGAGGATATCCTATATCATTTCTAGTTTAGCTGCATGGTGCCCCTCTTTGGCATACTGGCATCCCTACACGAAAGCGCAGAATTCAAAGCTCACCACTGGACGCCCAACTAGCTGTCAGGATTCCCTCCCCTCCCCCTGCCATCATCACTCATGGTACTTCACAGTATAGCGTGGTGGTCAGAAAATTCTGGAGTCAGACAGCTGTGGGTTCAAAGCTTAGGTGAGACACTGAGTCTGAATTTGGGGAAATGACTTAGTCTCTCTGGGTCTCCATTTCTTCATCTGTTTAATGGATATTTGAATAATGGAAAGGGGACAAATAATACTTCATAGGGCTGCAGGAATTCAGTAAGATTGTATCAGTTAGCTATGGCTACAATGCCACATAACAAATAACCCTACAACGTGACAATCGGCAATCCACAGAAGAAATAGAAGTAGCCACCACATACATGAAAATGCTTCACAGCAACAGTAAACAAAGAAAGTTAACTAAAGAAAACCCAAGATATCATTCTTCACCTGCACCTAATTGGTAATTTTTTTAAAGACAGACTGAACTTTTTTAGAAAAGTTTTACACTGACAGAAAATTTGGGAAGAGAGTACAGAGACTTCCCACATATCCCTGCTCAGTTTTGCCTATTAGTATCATCTTACCTCAATACGGTACATTTGTTACAGCTGATGAGCTGACACTGATGCCTAATTATTAACCAGACTTCATATTTTATTCACATTTTCCTTACTTTTCACTTAACTTCCCTTCCGGCATCCAGAATCCCATCCACGATGGCACCTTTCATATAGTTGCCACGTCTCCTTAGGTTTCACAGACTTGCCTCATTTTGGATGACCCTGACACTTTTCGGGAGTACTGGTTAGGTATTTTGTAGAATGTCTCTATTAGTACCAAAAAAAAATTTTTTTTTTCTTAAGTTCTCATTCGTTTATTTAAGTAATGTCTACACCCAACGTGGGGCTCGAACTCACGAGATCAAGAGTCGCACGTTCTTCCAACTGGGCCAGCTAGGCGCCCTTGTCTGATTTTTTTTCCTTAACGAATTGACTGGGGTTATGGGTTTTGGGGAGGAAGACTGGAGAGAGAAAATTTTCATCACATCATATCAAGGATACATAGCATTAACATGACACATGACCCCTGATGTGGCCCTTGATCCCATCTGGCTGAGGTAGTGTCTGTCAGATTTCTCCACTGTCAAGGTGCTCATTTGTCCCCTTTCCATCCCGTACACTTTGGAGGGAAGTTAACGTGCACAGCCCACACTTGGCCCACACTTGGCCCACACTTGAGAAGTGAAGAGTTATGTTCCCCCTTGTTGAGGGCAGAGTATCTACATAAATTATTTGGAATTCTTCCGCATGGGATACTTGTGTCTCTTTCCCATTTAAGTTATTCAATCATGGACTCATGGCTATTTGTTTTACATGTTGAGTTATAATCCAGTAATTATCTGGTTCACATTGTCCCAGCTTGGGCCCCTGGGAGGTTCTCAGTTGGTTCCTTTGTTCCTTTGACATACCCCAATTTCTTTTTCGTTTTTAGTTTGAAGCACATTCTTACAGTATGGCAGGATAAGGTGCTCCTGGCTCACCTTGCATATTTACCGTCCTGGTCATTGAATCAGCCATTTCTCCTACAATCCCTGGTTCCTTTTATGGGAGAATGGGGTTTTAAACCAAGACCCAGGCGTTAGATGTTTGTGTTGCTACTAGGGTGTCATTGCTTCTGGGCCCTCTCAGTGAAGAGCAGGAACTGTCTGTCAGCACGCTGACCTACATATACACAAGTGTATATAAATATTTCTGTGTGTAACAATATGTATGGGGTACATGGGTGGTTCAGTCGGTCGAGTGTCCAACTTTCGATTTTGGCTCAGGTCATGCTCCCATGGGATCAAGCCCTGAGTCAGCCACCGCCCTGAGCATGGAGCCTGCTTAAAATTCTCTCTCTCTCTCTCTCTCTCTCTCTCTCTCTCTCTCCCTCTGTCCCTCTCCCCTGTTCATACTCGCTCTCTCTAAAATAAAAAAGAAACACACACAAAAACCCCAGCATGTACATATATTAAGCTATACATGAGTTCATACTGATGTCCCCAGCTCTAATCCATTACCACACGAATCATCTAGCCTCCTACCCTTGTTCATTTTATACTTCAACAATGAGAAGCCTGGCTCCCACCATGCACCATCCATTCACGTAATTCTTCAATTCCGGTATCCTTTAGTCTCTCAGACTCTGCACGTTTCCAAAGTTACTTAGGTCAGCACCTTTTCTTCCTACCCCCTTTAGTTTGGCCGTTTCACACATTTGTGGATTCTTTATCACAGGCATCACAGCAAGCAGGAGCTGGTGCTGACCTTCATGAGGACGTAGGGCAAGTTCAAGGCAACACCAGCCAGAATATCAAGTGACACTAAGGCATTTGGTATAGAAATTAGCTGCAGGGCCTTACATAAACTTCTCTCTCATGGTAGAGAATTTGCTAGGCATGATTTACTCCTTCCTCACAATTATCCATGCCCTGGGGATCAAAGGTGTTTCAGACATGGATCTAGCCAAGTTCAGGAAGGCATGGAAGGCACAGGCATAGCTCACCTTAATACCAGGCAGACAATGAAACACAACAGGAGAGTGAAGTTCAGAAAACAAAGCCTTCACTTCCAGCAGGGCTTAGAGCCCCTGGGAAGATCTGGGAACTTTGGGCAAGATGACGTCCAGGAAGCTGAACGAGAAGAACCTTCTCTGTGAGCAAACCATGGGGATGGAGAAAACTAAGAGTCTTGTGAATGGAGTCTAGTTTTCTGACATCATGTTTTAAAGATCTTTGTTTTTTGTTTTTTTTTTTTAATTTTTTTAACGTTTTATTTATTTTTGAGACAGGGAGAGACAGAGCATGAACGGGGGAGGGTCAGAGAGAGAGGGAG